CACACACACACACACACACACACACACACACACACACACACACACACACACAAACACAGTGTTTGCTCTCTCCTTCACTCAGCCTCTGCTAGCACGCACCTGGTTTGAACAATGGAATACAATACAAACAATAGTGCACCAGAACTCTATCCCAAGTCCAGGTAGGTAGGCTAGCTGGGCCCACCATGTAGGCTGGTAGGTTAAGAAGGCCCAGTTCTTTCGTATATCCACGCTCCAGCTCAAGTTGTCGTTGATTGGCTACCATCTGAGATAGGCATGCGAGTATTTTGTCCGCTCTTTTTTTTTTTTCATTTTTACTTTTTAACTTGGACCATTTCTCGATTTATGTGTGTCATCCTTGCGCAGGGGCCATGCTAATCTTCTCTGAAACGTTCCAATCATAACGGATGTCTGTTCTGAGAACAGGCATGTGTGCACTTTGTTTGTTCTCAGCGCAGTTTGCTTTGTTTTCGATTCCAGGTCTCTGTATTCTGTCTGCTCTCAATTCATTTTCACTAAGTTTCCTTTGCTTTCAATTTCCGCATATTTCTCAATTAATTTTTGTTCAGTTTGCTTTGATTTCGATTTCTGCACGTTGTAAGGACCTGCCAAAACACGGAGTGAGAACACAGCTGATTTCTGAGTTTTGCCGCTGGAATGAATGCCTTCCTGAGATTCCAGCTTTTTGCTGAGTTTTCTAAGTCTGTGTGTGTGTGTGTGTGCTTGCTGGTCTGCGTGCCTGTCTGAGTGCTTGTAGGCTTGAGTGTGTGTGTGGCAGCCAGGGCACTTGTTTGTTTGGGAGGCCCCGAAGAGCCGGTACTTACCTGTGGCCCTGACTTTGCAGTTGCAGCGAGGGAAAACACCTCGAGTGGCCGAAGGGGATAGCTTAGGGCACACTCGATTAGCTGTAGTGTAGGCCGTGGGCACACGAGTAGTAGGTAGGCCAGTACCACTCGAAGTAGAGGTAGATTTGTCGGGAACCGACAGCCGGGCAGAAGAAGACATAAAGTTGGCATTTTTAGAGGCCCAGGAGCGGTAGGCTAGGTCTAGGCAGGGACCAGTCCAACTACTCGAGGTCTAGGGCCTGTGCGGACGATATCAGAGCCTGCAATGATGTTTCCCTCCGAAAGGGAGGAGGTACCAGTTGCTTGGAAGCCGCGCGGCCTGGAAGTCACTGCCCAAGACGCAAGTTGGCCGCGATATATCCAGGAAGAGCAAAGAGGTCCTCCTCATTTTGCTGCATGCAAGTTCGGTGTCATGCTGCTGGAGCGCTGGTTGGAAGCAGCGCTGTGAGGGGGAGGAGCGCCCAGGCCCAGCTCTCCACCTTGGCTATGGTGGAGGAGCTCGGGTAGGAGGAGGAAGAAGTGTACTACGAGAGGGGAGCGCCAGGGGTACTTACCTGGCAATGATGGATGCCATCTTCATCATCTTGGTGGGTGCTGCATCTGGAAGACCCACGTTGGGGTAGAGCTGCATCAAGAAGCTTTGAGGCAGAGTTAGGCATCGTGGCCTGAGAGGAAGAGGCCATAGCTGCTTTGCGTTGTCTTTTGCACATCAGGGCAAGGCCCTTAGTAGTCCGCCATAGCCTCAGCCTAGGTGAAGGGAAGAGCGGAATGCAGCCATGGCTATGGTGGACCTCTTGTTGTGCTGGAAGTAGAAGAGGGCTTCGGAGATTGCGTCTGGTTCAGCCGTTGATCATTATTATTATTATTTATTGTTTGAATAAGAGAGGAGTTGATTGGCGAGAAGAAGGGGGAATTATCATTGGTCTTTTGCTGGGGTACATCTTCTTCTTCTTCTTCTTCTTCTTCTTCTTCTTTCCCTCTCTATCCTCTTACGTTCGCTCATTTCTTTTGCGATTGGACAGCATTGTACTCTCTCGTTTTCACTTCGAAATCGGCCAGAATCGTAACAATGGTACCAGAGCCTGGCGAGAGTTGACTTTGTCGCCCCAACCCTAAACTATGTGGTTGGCTACCACTTACGGTTAGGCCTGGTGAGTTGAGGGAAGCAGGGCAGCGTGGTAAAGGGAAGAGCTGCCCCCACCTGGCAGGGTCGTGCAGGGTCGGCATTTGACCCCGCCAGGTTGATTGAGTGCAAGTTTGGGGTGGCGAGATACTTCAAGGGACTTTGTGCGACAATTGTGCATGAGCGTGCAAACTGCTTTCTCACCTGATGAGTGAATGGATGAAGTATCCTGAATCGAGCGCCATATCTTTCTACAGTGCTTTGTGTTACATGCACAGATATGCAATGTACGTAATAAACGAGGATCTGCAGTGTGATGAAAAGGACAGAATGGACAATGCGGTGCGAGTAGATTCTCGACAAACAATGTCCATTCTCATACATATAAAAGGTGCTGAATAGCGCA